AATATTAACCGATATTTACCAAAAACAGTAGGGGTCTTCATTGGCCAGAACCCATCCTACATGCAAAATTTCGTGAAGATTGCTCCATAACTGTGGCCTGTATCGTGTTTAAAAATTATAATGGACAGACGGACGGACACACATGTCTAGATCGACTCAGCTAGTCGTGACATGACGATCGGAATACTTAAAGGTGGGTCTAGGACCAATTTTTCGTGGCGTTACAAAATTTTGGGGCTGCACAAAGCTATAATACCCTGACAACATAGTTGTGTAGGGTATAATAAAAAATCAACCTTATTTGTTTATACTTATATAGAATTAATTCCACACTTTAAATAAAATGTTCGTGACATTCCTAAACCAATAACCCTCAGTATGAAAAATAACCAAATAAACTTTAAATGAAAGTGAAGAAATGTCATTAAAAATGTCTTGTCCTCCTCCCTAGCATTTGATGAAATTTCGTGATAAATTTTTCCAACTGCCCAAAACAACGAACGAACGATTTCACCTACTTAACTGAAAAATTATCACCAACAATGCAATTTTCTGCCACAACGCGTGTTTGCATTCAACCGAAACCTATTTCTTCCGAAAACAAGACAAGGCAACCATCCATCCAACAGACCATTAGGTGGGAAGTTCAGGCCATCAACAACAACAAAAATACAGACGGTGCAGCAAAGAGTGTATAATTTTTTCATAACAACATCGACATTGGAAAATGCAGCATGAAATCCATACATATTTACAAATGATTGTAACCGAGGATTAGAGATAGTTACAGAAATTTAGAATACAGCATATTTTGCAGCATGTAAAATTTACATTAGGATACAAAATAAGGTTATATTGAACATTCGTGTGTCATATACGATGCTTGTTGAAGAATTATGGCGGAATTAGGACTTCCTTTTTCTTTTCCAGGCTCTGTGTATTTATGTATTTATATGTGTATTTATATAAAAAAATATATTTTCTCCATCATCCTTCCGATGCTCAATTCTACAATAATAGTTACAAACATTCTTCTTAAATTCTTACAGCTCATCAGGGATGTGCTTTTCACGACGGTGCGTCCACAGAAAGCGAAGGAGTGCGTTTCATACGCCTACGTGAGGATGCTGAAATTGGAAAGGAAATTCTAACCATAAAAGCATATCCACGTTCAAAAATCTCCCTACAATCACCCGATAATACGGGAGATCATAAATATTTTGCCATACATGAATATAATTTAACATCAGTTGTTGTGACCCTGACAAGGTCACTGGAAGACCTTGTCGATCGAGATGTGCCAAGAAATCTATTAAAATTTCGCATTGTTTGTGCGGCGAAAAATGAGAAACTCGAAGAAGGCAGCTACCTATCGGTGACTGTGTACATTGAAGATGTCAACGATAATAAACCGGAATTCCTCAATACCCCCTATATTGTAGATATTAAAGAGAATACACCACCAGGAACAATTGTGTTCGAAGGCATACAGGCCTTTGATAGAGATAAGCCAAATACCCCGAATTCGGAGGTGCATTTTAGTATGTCAACTGTGCCAGAACAGCTATCAGCAGATGGTAGTCCATATTTTGCTCTCAAGTCACCGCATCGTCCGTTGTTGATATTGAAAAAGGAATTGGATTTTGATAATGGTATACGGCTGTTTAAATTGCCTTTGTTCGCCTGGGATCGTGGTACACCAGCGAATCAGGTTAATACTACTATAACCATTAATGTCAAGGATGTTGATGATCTGCCGCCGAAATTTACCGAGGGTGTTTATCGTTCGAAAATTGATGAATTTTATCCAATGACGGTATGTTGAGGCTATTTAAAATATTACAATGTTTATAAACATTCCCCCTTTCGTTTCAGGGAGTACCTATTAGAATACCCTTGTACTTCAATCCACCCATTATGGCTTTTGACCAGGATTCCTTGAATGCGTCCTTGGTCTATGACATAATTTCAGGAAATGAGCGAAAACTGTTTCGAGTTAATCCCAATAATGGTATTGTATATCTGCAAAAGGAAATAGATTTGGAAGAAGAAAGTCTACCGGGTAACACATTCGTGTTACAAATTGAAGCTCGTCAAAAGGATAATCCGCTGAGAAAGGCTTTAGCAAGGTAATTCAATTGAAGGCATCAAGAAGTCCTTAAAAAGTAATAACTTAGAAATCCAGGACTTAGAAAGTCCTTAAAAAGTACCATCTATAAAATCCATATTTTAAAATTATCTAAAAAAGTACTCTTTTTAGCATCCAGGCATCAAAAAGTCCCTGAATAAGTACTGTTTAAAAATCTAGGCTTCAAAAAGATACATTTTTAAAAATCCACGCCCCTACAGAACTTGAAAAAATCCTTTAATGTAAATTCTTTTAAATATCCATGCCTGAAAAAGTCCACGTTAAAAAATCCACGCCTTAGATAGTCCCTGAAAAAGTCCACGTTAAAAAAATCCACGCCTTAGATAGTCCCTGAAAAAGTCCACGTTAAAAAATCCACGCCTTAGATAGTCCCTGAAAAAGTCCACGTTAAAAAAATCCACGCCTTAGATAGTCCCTGAAAAAGTCCACGTTAAAAAAATCCACGCCTTAGATAGTCCCTGAAAAAGTCCACGTTAAAAAAATCCACGCCTTAGATAGTCCCTAAAAAAGTCCACGTTAAAAAATCCACGCCTTAGATAGTCCCTGAAAAAGTCCACGTTAAAAAAATCCACGCCTTAGATAGTCCCTGAAAAAGTCCACGTTAAAAAATCCACGCCTTAGATAGCCCCTGAAAAAGTCCACTTTAAAAAATCCACGCCTTAGATAGTCCCTGAAAAAGTCTACTTTAAAAAATCCACGCCTTAGATAGTCCCTGAAAAAGTCCACTTTAAAAAATCCACGCCATAGATAGTCCCTGACAACGTCCACTTTAAAAAATCCACGCCTTAGATAGTCCCTGGAAAAGTCCTCTTTAAAAAATCCACGCCATAGATAGTCCCTGAAAAAGTCCTCTTTAAAAAAATCCACGCCTTAGATAGTCCCTGAAAAAGTCCTCTTTAAAAAATCCACGCCATAGATAGTCCCTGAAAAAGTCCTCTTTAAAAAATCCACGCCTTAGATAGTCCCTGAAAAAGTCCTCTTTAAAAAATCCACGCCTTAGATAGTCCCTGAAAAAGTCCTCTTTAAAAATCCACGCCTTAGATAGTCCCTGAAAAAGTCCTCTTTAAAAAACCCACGCCTTAGATAGTCCCTGAAAAAGTCCTCTTTAAAAATCCACGACTTTGATAGTCCCTGATAAAGTCCTCTTTAAAAAATCCACGCCTTAGATAGTCCCTGAAAAAGTCTTCTTTAAAAAAACCACGCCTTAGATAGTCCCTGAAAAAGTACTCTTTAAAAAATCCACGCCTTAGATAGTCCCTTAAAAAGTCCTCTTTAAAAAATCCACGCCTTAGATAGTCCTTGAAAAAGTCCCCTTTAAAAAATCCATGCCTTAGATAGACCCTGAAAAAGTCCTCTTTAAAAAATCCACGCCTTAGATAGTCCCTGAAAAAGTCCTCTTTAAAAAATCCACGCCTTAGAAAGTCCCTGAAAAAGTCCTCTTTAAAAAATTCACGCCTTAGATAGTCCCTGAAAAAGTCCTCTTTAAAAAATTCACGATAGTTCTGGAAATTATCCTTTAAAATGTCTGTCTTTTTCCTTTTCAGAATCGAAGTCGAGATTTTGGATTTAAATGACAACATGCCAGAGTTCGAAGCCGATTTCTACAATATATCGATTGTAGAAAATCTACCCACCGGTTTTAGTGTCCTGCAAGTCAATGCCGTGGATCGTGATCAAGGTGAAAATGCTGAATTCCTCTACAAGCTCAAAGAGAAACCCGATGCGAAGGGTGCATTCTGCATCGATTCTCGTACGGGTTGGATAACAGTTCGTGACGATCGTTTATTGGATCGTGAAAAACGTAAATCGATACATTTAGAAGTTGAAGCTCTGGAACGTATGCCTTCATATATGGATGATATAAATTCGAAGAAACCAGCACCGAATTCGGTGAAAGTGGAAATAACTCTGCTCGATCAAAACGATAATACACCGAAATTTGAAAATGGTAATTTATATGAATTTAAGGTACCCATAACCGCGCCAGTGGGTTATGTGGTGGGACAGGTATTGGCTCGAGATCCCGATGAGGGACCGAACGGTATGTTATTGTACGATATGCAAAGGCCAAAGAAAAGTGGTTATATACCATTTCGATTGGATAGTAAAAATGGTACAATTTATGTGTCGGGGCCATTGAGACGAGGACGGATTGCCGTGTTTGTGGAGGCCAGTGATCAGGTGAGTAAAATATTATTTACAATAAAATATTTTTTATTTAAATAAATGCCTTTTTAGCCTCTAAATCCCTCCGAACGACGTTTCTCCTTGGCAGTCATTACAATTGAGGTTTTTGCCACCTTGGATGACCAGTCGATTGATTTTATTGGTGCTCCCTATGAATTTTGGATTGGTTCGAATGCCCCTCTCGGCACTTCGGTGGGGCAAGTACGCACAACCCTGCTATATGATGGTGATGATGATATTATGTATGACCTACTACACACATATTCTGAAGGTGTTCCATTTGCCATTGAGGAGAGATCGGGAATTATTACAGTTATCCGTGAATTGCAGGAATTTAAGCGAAAAGTATATCATTTTGAGGCCGTGGCTAATTATGTGAGTTGGAATGTTTTTAAATTAGTATGAAACGATGTTGATGTATTGATTCTTGATAGCTCTTTGCAAATGCTACGCAACCATTGATTATGGCTCGTAGCAAGGAACCCTTGACCACAGTACCAGCACCAGATTTAACAGATGAAGGTGTCCTCATAACGAATGTTACAATACATGTTATCAGCAAACCGGATAATCAAGTGCCATTGAGACCTGTTATTGAGTAAGTAACACTAGGCAACAAAATATATTCATGACCTTGCACTATAGCTAATTTGGACAGTTTTTTGAGAAAAAGTCATGTTTTCAATTTTGGAAAATAAAATCTTTTTTGATGTCATTAGAAGGAAAACATGTCATGTTCGATCGGTGTGAATTGAAGCAATGCTTGACTTGTGTGGTACGGTGTTCACACCGATTTGGCGGTACGCACACTGATCGAAAAAAATTAAAATTTTTTAGTTTTTCGGTGTGCGACACGCACATGTTTGACGTCTGTGGCCTGGTGTGTGGATATTTTCTCATTTGTTGTGAAATTTCGTGGAGTGAGGGTTGTAGGGGTTTTCCCACATTTACTTTGAACATTTAACTTTGCTTTTTAATTGACACTAAGTAGCCTTAGATTTTGGTTTATACATATTTTGAATTCATGTAATACACATTTTTCATTCTTGAAAATATTTTTAACTAAAGAAGTTGGTTTTTATTAAAATAAATAATTATTAATATTTTATAATAAATTGTGTTTTAACCACAAGGGTCAGCGGACAATTTCAAACATATGCAAAAAAATGTTTTGGAAGAATTTTTTGATGTTTGTTACAGAAATCATACAGTGTGGGAAATAAAAATATTTTCCCGGAATAATATGAAAGTCCTTATTAAATTTATATTTAATAAAAATATTTTGTATTTTTTACGTCATCACTATCACTGTCCATCATCACGCTTTAAAAATAAGTACGAAATGAAGTTTTGTGGATCCGTTTGACGTGTGTGGGCTAGCAGCTTCACACCGATCAAACGCACATGTTTGACGTGTGTGTCCCACTTAATACACTGAATAAATTGTATGTTACAAAAACTAAACTGATTCGGATTCTCCTGAAATGTTTTCCATAAATATATCTCAATATTCAAAACTCGTTAATAAAAGGCAGATCACCGGACTTTTCGTTATATCAGCCGATTAAACGTATATGTACATCTAAAACCTATGTTAATAACTTGGGCCAAATTACTTCATCCCTACGCACCAAATGCCATATTTTGAGGAGTCTGACAACTAAATTTTAACAAATTATTACGTTATGCCAAAATTCAGACATACAAAAGAATTCACATTTTTAATTTGATTCAAAATTGCCGAACATGGGTTTAGTGCAAAAAATAATTGGTAGAGCAGGACCAATTATTTGAAAGTCAGTCGGTGTTACCGACAAACTCATACCTTCAAGCAACTATCCTGATTTTTGTATGATATTTTTGGCTTGCGAAAATGATGAACCTATATAGTCGGTAATTGCACTAAATCTATGGTTAGTATAAATATTGAGGTCACCTATCGCTTTATATTAGGTCCCGTCGAAATATATGGCTTACGTATAACGACGGCCAAGAGACCGGCAAAAATATAAGCGATGTAGATTTAGGTAACTTTCGACATCTTTAACATGTTGCTAGGTTCTTTGGTCTAAATGATATATTTGCAGGCCCAACCTAAAGATCCCGCTTAATTTTCATTTTGTTTAAATTTCTAGCCCAGTTTTCCAAACCGTGTGTCTGTAGTTTGGAACCGATCTTTTTTCATCACATGAACAACATCCTAGAACACTTTGCAATAACATAGTCCCCATATAAAGACCCCGAATTATTTATGACATTTTTTTAATGCACACCTTATAAAAAGTTGGACCCGACCAAAAGGAAACGAGATAGACCCATGGTTCCTGTCAAGAATATGCATAGAATCAGTTTTTGAGGCGACTGTCTGTCCATGTTAAATCGTAAACATATATATGTCGCATTTATGATCCGAATGAAATGAAATTTGGCACAGCCCAATTATTTAGCTCAAGGAAGAACTCTATACATAGTTGAGAAAATCAGTTCAGTTTTAGATATAGTTCCCATATATAGGTTTGTCCGGTTCCACAAAAGTACACCCAAGTCACAATGTTTGACCGATATATATTCGTCCGATTTTTTTGTAAGATATGTTCAATTAAGACAAAATTTTAAATTTAGAATGGCGTGTGTTAATTGTCGTTGAAATCTGTTTAGATTTAGATAAAGCTCCCATATATATTTGCGTCCGATTTTATTAAATGGTGCGATAAACTCCCAGTGTTTGTCCGACTAAGACGAAATTTAGAGCACCATGCCGTATTGGGTCAATGATGACGTGTGTTAAGTTTTGGGAAAATCGGTTCAGATGTAAATATAGCTCCCATATATGTTTCCCTCCGATTTTATGTAAATGGTGTAACAAAGAGCCTGTATTTTTCGATATACACAAAAGTTTGCAAAGCGAATTTAGTCTAGAATGATGTATGTTAAAATTTGTTCCAATTGTTTCAGATTTAAATATAGGTACCATATATTTGGTGTGGCACAATCGGTTAACCCGGTTCATTTTTTTAAGCGATGTAGTTCTGAATTTCTGCATTTTATGTCCGTCAAGAGTAAATATATACGCCATAGAAGTTTTGGTACATTTGACCCCATAAATATAGACAGCCAAAAATTACGTTTCTTGTCTACTTCATCCCCTAAATATTAACCGATCATTACCAAAAACAAAAACAATCTATTTGGCCCGAAACGAACTGTGGCCTGTATCGTGTTTATAAAATATAATAGACAGACGGGAACACATTCTAGATCGACTCTGCTAGTCGAGATATGACGATCGGTATACCAAAACTTAGGTCTAAAACCAATATCTTGGGGCCACACAATGCTAATACCATAGTTGTGTAGGCTAGTTAAATAGTTTCATATTTCTATATAGATCACATACTTCATTTTGTCCAATTCCATGTCAGTTGTCCCCCGACGATGCTACGTTTATTCTATTGACCGTTTATTGTTGCACTTGGTTACAGCGGAATATATCTTACTGTACCTTACAATAAGAATCTAAGGAGCATCTCTTGTATATACCCAAAGTTGTGATAGAAATCATGTAGTCGACCCCGTCCGACTTTTGAACATTCCTTACTGGTTTCGTGATGTTAATACCCAATTACATTCCCTTCATTTTCATCTATTTACAGAGAAATCAATATGAACATAATTAAATTCCACATAGAGGAGAATATCGTTGGTGGCATTATTGGACAATTGCTCTACAAGAATGGCATAAATATTGTGAATAATGACCTCGAATCCTATCGGAGTTTACAAGGAGCACCGTCGGCGACAACAACAGTAGTATCCTCAGCACCCGAAACAAATATCACACTGAATTCCCGCTTCCGCAGTAAATCTCCACGACGGCAAACACGGAAACGTCTACCACGACGTTTGGCCCAGGATAGCAACATCAAGCTACGCTACATTATTGCCAATCAGCAGGAGGTTATCAATAAAATCTCCATAACCGAGGATGGTACCCTGTTGACGGTGACGGGATTGGATCGTGAACAAAAAGATACATATGATTTGACGGTGATTGTGGAATATACAACGGGATTGGTGAGCGGTGCGGGGATTTACCAAGTTGAGGTCAGAGTGGATGATGTCAATGATAATGCACCGGAATTTAATGATTTGACCTATATGGGTTTGATAAAGGAGAATAGTGCGAAAGGCTTTGAGGTGGCATTAAATCGACCGATAATAATCAAGGATAAAGATTTGGGTAAAAATGCTGAATTTAAAGTGGTCGTGCAGGGTGACTATAGTGATTTGTTTGATGTGACATGGGTGCAGCAGGAAAATGCATCGGTTCTGACAAATTTACCCAGACGTCCTGAGCTGTTCAATATTTACAATTTATCGGATCAATGGAATGATGATTTGAAATTTTTGGAAATGCAAGCAGATTTGAAACCTTTTAATCTGAGAATGAATAATCAACCGTTCTTTAAGGTGAGCTATTCAGGGAGTCGGCCCTTGGATCGTGAAAAGGATCAGATTTATAATTTGAAATTATTGGCAATTGATACGGGCGGTTTGACTTCGTATGCGAATTTAAATATTTTGATTGCTGATGTGAATGATAATGCACCGATTTTTGAGAGGATATCGGTATTCAAAGATTCGAGGGTGGAGATCAGGGAATATACCACAGATATGGAAATTTATTTTGTGGAGTCTTCGATGGCTTCAATGCCGAATATGATGGCATCGCTGACCAGTAATATTGTGGTGCCGCCGTATTTTTTGCCGGGTTCTCCGAGACTGAATGGAGCGGAGGGTAGTTTTAATGATACCCAATCTCCGCTGAGGCCGAGATCAAGAGCCCGGAGTAGAGGAAGGCCAAGGATCGCTCGAGCCATGGGAGGCTTAAGTAAATGTCCATTGTTTGCAATCTATGAGGATACCCCGCTGCTGAAGAAAATTCTACAGGTTACTGCTTCGGATGAGGATTATGGCCGAAATGCCCAGGTCCATTATGAAATTGTGGCGGAAAGTATTGATAAGCTGTATGGAGGAGGTGGAGCCACCCCGCTACCCAGTAAATTCAATCAACATCGATTTTTTGCCATCGATAAGCTGACGGGGGAGGTTATGATTAATTATCCCCTGGTGGCCAATGTGGAGATTCTGCTAAATATTACCGCCAGTGACATCGATAACCTAAAGGATTCAACATGTCTACGCTTTACCATTATTGATGTGAACAATCACGCCCCGGTTTTCAAAAAGACTTGGTATAGTTTCGATACTGCCGAGGGAGAATACAAAGATTCGGTGTTGGGTCAAGTTCTGGCAGTGGATTTGGATTTTGGCGAAAATTCCAATGTTTCCTATGCCCTAAGTGATTCGGAGTTGCCGTTTAGAATTAAACCCCTATCGGGTGTCATCAAAATATCCGGATCTCTGGATCGTGAGCTAAGAGATAAATATACCTTCCATGTCATTGCATATGATAATGCGGAACCTTTATATCGCCTCTCCTCTTCCGTGGAGGTTGAGGTCAATGTCCTCGATGTAAATGACAATAAACCGGAATTTATTGGCTATGACGACCTCGTCAAGGGCGATTTATATATACACGATTTCGCCGACAGGACCATGAAGGTACCCCTGTATAAGGCCTTCCTCGATCGTAATACCAAACCGGGGGCTTTTGTGAAACAAGTGAATGCTCTAGACAAAGACTACCTCGGCAATGGAAATGGTTTGGTTTTATATTCCATTCTGCATCACGACTCTCTGCCCATCTTCAACATAGACTCACGGGAAGGTATCATTACCACAATTTCCGATTTTAAGGGATACAACAACTATGGTCACCTAAACGTTACCGTAATTGCCTCAGACTTGGGTAGCCCCTCCCTCACCTCCACAGCCATTGTTTTAATCAATCTACAGGGTCAGGTCATTGTGGAGACCACCACAACGCCGAAACCCGAAGATCCCTTCCTGACGGGGAATTTATCCATCTTCCAACATCAGTACTATGAAATACAAATTCAGGAGAACAATGAATCTCCCACCGAATTAATGAAATTAAATTTCACCAAAGGTTTCAATCCTGAAACTTACAAATGGACTCTATGGGTAGAAGAGGGTCAAGACGCTCAGCAGGATGCTTATCCACCATTTGAATTTGATCCTAAATTATCTACCCTCTATGCCCTTAAATCGTTCGATCGTGAACAAATTGACCGCTATCAAATACGCCTGAAAGGTGAAAAGCCAAATCGTGAAGGACGTACCTATACCCGTCTAGCCTATCCGGTGGTGGATGAACGTCTTGAGGGTTTGGAACACAACGAGTGTCGTATACTCATTAAGATCCTCGATGAAAATGATAATTCACCAAAGTTTAAAACTGCCGGACAGCCAATCATTGCAGTGGTACCACGCACAGCCTCATTTGGTTATCCCATTACAAGGGTGGAGGCCACGGATCCTGATTATGGTCTAAATGCAGAAATCCGTTATCGTCTACTAAACGATCATTCAAGGTTGTTTGCCATCGATGAAACTAGTGGAAAAATCAGACTCATTAGTACAATTGAGTCGGCTTCGGACAGGGTATATGGTTTTGATGTTAAGGCCATGGATCGTGCTGGAGCCGATGATGGTCGTAGCAATATTATTAATGTGTTCGTTTATGTCATCGATGAGAAGAAGCAAGTTCGTATTGTGGTTGCGGGTAAGCCGGTCGATGTGGAAAAGAAAATTGACGCATTGATGTTGACCCTCAGTGATGCTATTGGCATGGAGGTGCGTGCACGTCTATTGGAACCACATATCGGAAGTGCGGAACCAGCGTAAGTACATCGTTTTATATTTTATTTTCAATAGAGATTATTATGATCTACACAACAGTGTTGTGAGGGTATTATGTGGCAACCAGAGTTCTTATTACTTTAAAATATTAGACACGATCTCATAATCGTGTTATAGCCGATGAATGACATGGACTGATACGATATGGACCAAAGATGTCGCATTGGCATAAATCATAGATGTCCAATGAATGGCGCAATTTTCATTAAATTAATTTCAGTGATGCTTGTATAGGGCGCCACATGATCGGCATTTCCGAATATACCATCCGCAGATTTTGAAAATAATTATATGGAAGTATTTCCCAATATAGACGGCGATGCGATTTTTAAATTTATATGAGTGTTAAATAGACAGCTTCAAAAACTTCCCGGATTTTAGAATCTATACTTTGAAATAATTTCAGTGTTCAAAGAATCCCCCATGAATTCTACGCAAAATTTAATGGACTCCTTGACAATTAATTTTGTGGTGCCATCATATTCAGGGTGAACATGTCTGAATGGCTCATAGACACAGATATGGTGAGCCAGGATTAGACGAAGGGCGAGGATATCTCATGTCATGGGAGGCCTGTTTGCTATCTATGGATAACACTCTACATTTTACTGCTTCCAATGAGAATTATGGAGATATTTCATTATGGAATTGTGGTTGAGAACATGGATAAGACAGTCAGCAAATGTGACGGAATTGTTACAGCTTCTTTGTATGAATTTTGGGGATTTATTTTAAATTCCGAATCGTGAGTCCTCCGGACGAGGCAGTAATAACAAATGTCATTAGGAAAATACAAAAAAACATGGGAAATGGACTACAACCAAAAAATTGTGCTCTTCATATTTGTGTACTAGAAAAACCAGTGAGAATGGAGATGTGTAGTAACGGGACTGACCACATAATACCCTACCCAACTTCCACTAACATTCTGCGGTTTTATATCCCGAGCCTTGTAAATATTTCGCGATATTTGCACCCTCTTGACCGATTGGAGGTAAACAGTTCCTCTTTTTTACACTGGCAAATGTTTACAATCTTTTTTCCCGAGGTAAATATTTACGCTATTAGATGCAAATTTTGTCATTTTACTGAGAAAAGTAAATCTGAAACCACCCGGTATCAAAACAGCCCTTCTAGTTAGTTGGCCGGATTCCCTCCGCCGCAATATCAGAAAAGGTAGACCCTGTAAATATTTGCGTATAACTGCCACATTCATGTACATATATCACAATAATTGATATCCATTTCAAAATAAACCATTCCTTGTGGTTCTACTGTCAACTGATCTGGTGTATATCATTCAAGTGTAAATATATACGCCATAGAATGCAATTTGTTGTCATTTTTTCATACAAAAGTCGATCAGCATCAAATCAACAATGTTTATTCTTCAGCCAGATAAAGAAAATACCAAATTACATATACTTTGGTGGGAAAATTCGCCTGAAACCTTTAAAATATCGAAAAAGGAGCAGGAATTTTTAAAGGGGGGCTATGTCCAAACATTGGCCTTTATTGATAACTTTCTGCATAGATTTATGTCCAAAAACCTGATATGTACCGTTATACGGTACTGCTCAATTTCATTGCTAGCTCCATATTAAATATTGCAATATTAATCATGATTTCAACAGATATATAATTTTATTCTAATCAATAATGTATATGTCTATGGAGTCTCCGGCGAAAATGTACCTACCTGTGATCCTCCAAACACCCCAAACCCTACCCATCGAGGCTATTTTTTGTATTAAGAATTATTCAAAAATAAATGCTTATCGTTAAATTTCGAACCCTTCCGTTTTCGATATTTTGCTGCGATACACGGTATATTATTATAGGAACTTATGTTTGAAAATTAAACTAGGATCTTCGATATATTGCAAGTTCGAAAGAAAATGTACCCAAGACCGCGCCAATATCCCTTATTATGCGGGATTATTTTGTATTTTACTCTCTGAAATTTCGAAGTACCTCCTTAAGTAGAAAATGAGGCTAGAACCTTTAACTTATTTAGAAAAGGGTGGTTGCTTTATATGAGTTTAATGTCAAAACATTGAGCTATATTGACAATTTTCTTCAAATATGTTTTTAATCATTCGGTTGGAAAATTCGAATAATAAATGTTAGGCGGAACGCCTACTCGTATATGGTGGTAATGTCAAAACATGCACCTATATTGATTTTTTTATTTTTTGCGAAGTGGATATTCATTATTTGAAACGCCTGAATGATTCTTTAAAGGCACGATTAAATACCTCAACTTCGGAGGAAATTATGGTCATGGTCGCAGAAATATTTTATGGGGTCAATGTGAAATTCCGAGGTACCTCTTTTTTGTCCTATCGCTTAGAAATTGAGGCTAGAACATTTACAATACTTTGAAATGGGCGGATATTTTTTGTAGAATATTGTGATGATTAAAAAATCATATCTTGTGATAATTGCAGTCCGGTTCAATACAATAAGAACCAAAGGGACCAATGACTCGAGTCAAAGGATGGAATGTTCTCCAAAAAACAAAAAAAAAAAACAGTGAACGGAGCAGTATAGTCAGACGGGGCCGACCATACGATACCCTAAACAACTTCCATGAAAATCTAAATGTCTGTGGTTCTATATTCTGAGATTGGGCAATATTTCGCGATATTTGCACACTTTTGACTGGCTAGTGGTCAGCAAATGTTACTAATAATCAGTACAGCCCCTCTATATACTTGTCCAGATTCCCTTCACCGTGGGTTGTGTTGTGATGTTCGGCTTTCGACTCGAAAAGTACAAATAATTAAGTTTCCGGTCCACTTCATCCGAAAAATTATTATCTGATCATCACCTAACATTTTAGGCGTTGTCCTTGACCATAACTGGAAACTCATGGAACATTTCAAAGCGATCCGAGCTATATTTCCGCCCTCCAGTGTGGTAATGAGTTACAAAATGATATCTGAATTCGTAAGCACTTGTAAATATTTAAGTGTAAGGTATCAATTAAAAGATCAACCACTCCTCTTGGATATACTATCAACTTCTCGGGCCTACGTCCTTCAGTGGTAAATATATACGCTATAGAATACAAATGTTGTCATTTTTCACACAAAAGTTAGGGTCCATTTGACCCGCTAAATATTGACCGATCTTTATCAAAACAGGCATACTTATTCTCTGGCCCGATCCGCTTCTCCATGCAAAAATTCACGGCCTCTGGAGCGACCAGAAAAACCGACAAAAATAAAGTTTTATGTCCATTTCATCCCCTAAATATTAACTGATCTTTTTCAAAAACAATAGGGGTCTTCATTGGCCAGAACCCATCCTACATGCAAAATTTCGTGAAGATTGGTCCATAACTGTGGCCTGTATCGTGTTTACAAATTATAATGGACAGACGGACGGACGGACACACATGTCTAGATCGACTCATCTAGTCAAGATATGACGATCGGTATACTTAAAGGTAGGTCTAGGACCAATCTTTCGCGGCGTTACAAACTCGTGGGGCTGCACAAAGCTATAATACCCTGGCAACATAGTTGTGTAGGTTATAAAAAACAAAAAACGAGCGCAGCAGTATAGTTGGACGGGTCTAGGACCAATCTTTCCCGGCGTTGCGTACTCTTGCTGCTGGCTGCACAAAGCTATAATTCCCTGACAACATAGTTGTTTAGGGTATAACAAGTAAAAAGTCGTTAAGTTCGGACATTACAAACTTTTTATTCCCTCCACCATGGGCTGAGCATTTAAAATACCAGAAATTATATGTGTCGCGGAATGTGCCATGGTATATTTTTGATAGAAAATTTTGACACCAAATGACTACGAAATTGTACCCAATTCGGGTAAAAACCTAAAATTCAAATATGGGGCTATTGTAAAAACTAGGCCAATATTAAAAATTTTTGTGTTACCTAATGAGGAGCCAAAATACCGATGGAAAATCGTGTCCATACTCTTTAAAATACAGACATTTGGGATGTACCGTTATATTGAGGCGATCGCAAAAATTAGACCAATGTGTGTCCCAATGAACATCTAAAATACCCAATACCAAATACCCAATTCGGTGCAAAAACTTACCCACACTCCCCATAATACCGAAATTTTGGAGGTACCATATGGGGATTGTCCTAAAAATGGATCAATATAGTTAATTTTTGTAGGGAAATGTAATTCGATTAAAAACGAACCCATGCTCCATTAGAGCCTTTTCGATTATTTAGTTTGAAAGTGAACCGATATATCCCATTTTCAATATCCAACATCCTAAGAGTAATAGCAATGTATGGGCAAAATTTCTAAGAGAGCTCTATCGTCATTACAAAAGACAGACGGGCATGCATAAATCGACATAGAATTTTATTCTGATAAAGAATATATACTTCATGGGATCTCCTGTGAATATGTTAAGGTGTTACAAACGGAATGACTCCACCTTATGGTGGAGGGTATAAAAACACTAACAAAAGCTACGAATCAAGATATGAAGCTATATTTTATACATTCGGTTGGGGAAAAAGCATTGCATTATTTTTATATGAAGTATAGGAATTTATTTAACATGGTTCGGAATGTCCGATTTGGGCCAAATATGCACCGTTCTGTTGGCATTTTAAAGGTAACTTCATAATGCCTGTCTAATAGAAGTCCTGCTGTCTATTTGCAAAAGTAGTCGATTTTCACAATCCTCCCTGGGTATAAATCCAATGCAAGAAGAAGATTATAATCAATTGGTGGCAAGTCCGGACTGTATTGCGAATGCATTAAAAATTCGCAACCAAGCTCCCGAAGTTTCTGGCAAGTCACTGGAATGTAGATGTGTGTGGCCTAGCGTTGTCCTGGTGGAACACGACACCTCTTCTGTTGGTCGATTGCTATTTTCAAACGGTCCAGTTGTTGACAGTATAGATTAGAATTTAGCGTTTGGCCATATTCCCCTTTCAGTCCCACCAAATGCCTAGCAGAACCTTCCTGGCCATTAGTCCCCGTTTGTGGTGCTTCGCCGCCCTTCGACCATCGTTTTCGCACAGGGTTGTCGCATGTGATCCATTTCTTATCTCCAGTCACCTTCCTTTTCTGAAATGGATGTATCTCATTCCGTTTGGCCAAGGCTTCGCTGATGGAAATTCGATCCATCATTTTTTTTTTTTTTTTTGTGTTAATTGGTGTGGCACCCAAACATCGAGTATCTTTTTGAATCCAGCTTTGTGTAAATGGTTTAAAACAGTTTTATGGTCGATTTTAGCTCAACTTCGATCATTTCTCAGATTTTTTCGACATTTTCGACGACCGGCCTTATGAATTTCTTTTTCCCCATCTAATGTGTTAATCTTATTAATTTTAATATTGTTCCACAAATTCTAAAATTATTGCAGAAACTGACTCTTGTAATTTTCTTTTTTATTTGCAGAACTGACGCCTACATTTACGCCGTGGATTATCGAACCAATTCCATTGTCGAAATGGAGCAACTGCAAGAGTAAGTTTTTCCATATTTGTTTTTAGCAAAATAAACCCACAAAAAATACGAATTTGTCTTTCTTCCCACCTAGGTCATTGTCCACAATCCAGTTGGACACGTTGCAATTGCATCAACAACAGCAGCTGCAACAGAATGCCCAAAATGGCTATTGGGATGTAAGCAAGACAATGCCGCGTATTATTGAGTTGGCTGAGCTGGGTAAAATTCCCCATAAATCAACGCATAGTGCAAATTTTTGGAGCAGTTTGGAAATAGTTGCGATTGTGTTGGTGGCATTTTGTGGCGTGGGATCGGTGCTGACGGCATTGTGTTTTATGTGTATGCGGCAAAAACGGTAAATAAAAGATGGTCAAGACAAACAGACACACACACATATACATACAAATAACTATATAAGAGACTGAATTTGAATTAAAAATAGAAGAAAAACCTTGGATCTTATTTGTTTGCAAAAATACATTTGATTTAAAATAATTAATAATAAGTTTGCCATAGTTTTTTAAAACAAATATAAGTTAATTAATAAAATTTTGTGAATTTTAAATACACACACATACATACAAAGTTCAGAATGGGGGTTTTCACTTAAGTTTGCAAAAGTGTGGTTGCATCATTGTGGCCATGGTGCTTTTGAAATCATGGCCATTGGTTGATTAGTTGTTGACAGGTTGATCACTGATCACAACAACAGCCAATCGCCTCCATTATTGATCACCTCAAAGGTGCCATCATCCTGTTGCACTAAATCAAAAACTAACGGTACTTCCTTTATGTATACCATCATCATACCATATTCTGCGAAACATTTAACCTCAATCCGTATAAATGTTGTGCAGAACTAGGCTCCCAGAACAATAACTCTTATCTCGGCGTATGTGTGTTTATTTTATGGACTAACTTTACAAGTCTCTGAAACTATTTCAATAATTCAAACAATTTATGTATGTATGCCTGAGTGTGTGTTTGTGTCTGTCTAATTAAATCTTGTAAACTTGATTTCTTGTTCTAACATCTCTCAAGAATGTTAGTTAGAACATTTTATGTTCTCTTTTAGTTGCAAGTTGTCCGGACAGCATCCAACTTGCAACCAACAGATTAAGAACTATTATTGATTTCTTGCAAACTTCAGATTTGTTCTCATTTTTTTTCTTTTCTATTTTCATTACCCCCTTCCCTTTTCTTGTGTTCTGTTTTCTTGCAGTGGTTTATGGTCTCAACAAGAATTTCCATCATCTGAAACTGGTTTAACATATACCATAGCACGTGCTGGCCTGGATACATGTCGTAGACGCCGTCATCGGACACTTCAGCAAGCTGTGGCAGCTCAAGAACAACAATTGCATCAACAGCAGTTGCAACGTCAAAGTCAACGTAAGTAGCACAGATTCCAAGAAGATAAAATAAAAATCTTCGAAATTAGGTGAAGTAAGAAATTGATTTCTTGGGAAGGGTTGTGGGGTAGAGGTTTGAGAAAAATAATAAAACCAAGTCAAGGGCATTCGAATTTGTTATTTCATATTGTGTCAATTTAAATTTGGATCAAATGTTACAATGGTGGAAATCGGTGCTGGCCAAAGCAGAGAATCGATGACTACAAGGTGCAATGAAAACAATAAAGAACGTGTTTTTAGGCCAAGACATTAAGTTTCTCCCTTATGTAGAACTCCATATAGTTCCTTTTGTATACATATATATAACTTGAACTGCTAAATCCTCTTATTAACATTATTTAATATATATTATAATGCTTCCAGAATCCCTATGTTCCTCGGCGAAAACCCAATCGACTGCCTTGGCAACACAAAAACTAACACCGGCGTCGGCACAACCTGAATGGACACAACAACAACAACAGTTACAGCAAAAAGCTCAAAATCTCCAACAAAGTCTATCGCAAACACCAACAAATAGTCCACAGCAGCATCAACATTTTCATCATTCGCATTCACACTCGCACATACATCAACATCAGCATCAATCGCTGCCATCGTTGCAGACACCACCGCAGCAGACGCATCACTATTTGCCACAGGTGCAACATCATCATCAGCATTTGAATAATGAGTGAGTAGACGTGTTTTTTTCTTTTAATTGTTGATTGATGTGGAAGATAATAGAAGAGGGTGTTAGGTCAGGTCAATGCCAACTACATACACATAAAAGTACAAAAAATACATTTGAACAATTTTGAAATTATAGGAATAGATGGACCCTATATCTACATAGGAAGTATATTAAATCTATGAAGAAGGAATCCTCCGCCTATTGAAGAGGAATTCTCTGTTTATAGGGAATGAATCAACTGTCTATTGGGGATGGATTCTCTATACGCAGAGGATGGAATCTATAGAGGATGGATCCTCTATCTATAGTAGATGGATCCTATATGGATTTTCCGTGTATAGATGGGATACTCTAAGTAGAGCCTATAGAAAATATATTATCTATGGATGTATTCTCCACATCATCTATCAATAGAGGATGGATCGTCTATCAAAGGAGGGTGGATCCTTTATCATTAGAGGATTATTCCTCTATCATTAGAGGATGTATTCTCTATCTATGGATGATGATGTCTATTTAGATCTGATACTCTGAGAGGATTCACATTTTTGTATGCATTTTTTGAAGACCTCTAATGTATATAGAGGATGAATCCGCTATCAAGAGGATGGATCCTCTACCTATAGAAGATGGATCCTATTCATTTGAAGGAAGTATCCTCTATTTGCAGAGGATATATCCTCTATCCACAGGGGCAGGATCTTCTATGTACAGAAGAAGAATCACCCATGGATCCCATCCCCACCCATGTATGGATACCCTATCTATAGAGTCGAGATAGATAGGATATCCTCTGTCTAACGAAAATTTATTATCTGTAGGGAATGGATTCTCTATATATAGAGGATTGATCGCCTATCAATAGAGGATGGATCGTCTATCAACATAGGATGGATCCTATATATGTAGTGGATGGATCCTCTATATTTAGGGGTTGGATCTTCCTCTAGGATCCTCTATCTACAGAGGATATCTATCTACCGAGAATGGATGCTCTACCCATAGGGGCAGAATCTTCTATGCACAGAAGAAGAATCACCCATATATAGGGGAAGAATAGCTCTTCTATATATAGAAAACCTCTTCTATATATAGAAGTCTTCTTCTGTGTATAGAATAGATCTTCTATGTATAGAAAACCTCTTCTATGTTTTGAATACCTCTTCTATGTATGGAAGACCTCTTCTGTGTATAGAAGACTTCTTCAATATATAAAAGACTTCTTCTAATTGTAGAAGACCTCCTCTATGAATATAAGACTATCAACATAGGATGGATCCTATATATGTAGTGGATGGATATGTAGGGGTTGGATCTTCCTTATATATAGGAAGGATCCTCTATCTACAGAGGATATCTATCTACCGAGAATGGATGCTCTACCCATAAGGGCAGAATCTTCTATGCACAGATGAAGAATCACCCATATATAGGGGAAGAATAGCTCTTCTATATATAGAAGTCTTCTTCTGTGTATAGAATAGATCTCCTATGTATAGAAAACCTCTTCTATGTTTTGAATACCTCTTCTATGTATGGAAGACCTCTTCTGGGGGCAGAATCTTCTATGCACAGAAGAAGAATCACCCATATATAGGGGAAGAATAGCTCTTCTATATATAGAAGTCTTCTTCTGTGTATAGAATAGATCTTCTATGTATAGAAAACCTCTTCTATGTTTTGAATACCTCTTCTATGTATGGAAGACCTCTTCTGTGTATAGAAGACTTCTTCAATATATAAAAGACTTCTTCTAATTGTAGAAGACCTCCTCTATGTATATAAGACTATCAACATAGGATGGATCCTATATATGTAGTGGAAGGATCCTCTATATGTAGGGGTTGGATCTTCCTTATATATAGGAAGGATCCTCTATCTACAGAGGATATCTATCTACCGAGAATGGATGCTCTACCCATAGGGGCAGAATCTTCTATGCACAGAAGAAGAATCACCCATATATAGGGGAAGAATAGCTCTTCTATATATAGAAAACCTCTTCTATATATAGAAGCCTTCTTCTGTGTATAGAATAGATCTTCTATGTATAGAAAACCTCTTCTATGTTTTGAATACCTCTTCTATGTATGGAAGACCTCTTCTGTGTATAGAAGACTTCTTCAATATATAAAAGACTTCTTCTAATTGTAGAAGACCTCCTCTATGTATATAAGGCCTCTTCTATGCAGAGAAGTCCTCTTATATGTATGGAAGACCTTTGTTACGTATAGAAAGCTTCTTCTATGTTTGGAAGACCTCCTCTATGTATATAAGGCCTCTTCTATGTATAAAAGGCCCCTTCTATGTATAGAGGACCTCTTTTTTGTATGGAAGACTTCCTTCATATATAAAGGACCTTAAAATATCTAAAAAGAGGCCGGGCCTTTATATGGGACAATATCAAATGTTTAACTAAGAACCTCAAATTGCAAAATACGTCCCATAGGGTTAGAAGGGAAGATGGGCAGAACCTTTAAATGTTGATTATGTGAAAAATTGTATACGAAGTTGAAATTTTGTCTTCTGAACATCCGAAATTCCTCCTTATAACCATATCACTTGGGAAATGCTGCTGGAACCATCAAGATATTTAAAATTGGTATCAAAGCAATGACCTATATCGTTTTGTACCCTCACATGAATTCGGTGTCAAATCATGCAACCAGATCAATAATTATTCTATGTGAAAACGAATACAGATATTATGTCAAAATATGACCTATATTAAACATTTTCTGTATATTTCACTTTCACCATCTACAAAATTCGGAAAACCTAATTATAGGTACTTCGGTTGGACCATGCGAATTCTATACAGGGGCTCTACCTTAACATGGACACCTTAACATTGAAAATATAAAGTACAAAGATTTTCCATCCATTAAAAATACAACATATAAATTTCGAGATAATTCGACTGAAACCCGTTTCTGAAATTTTGGGACGATTTGACACCCAATAAAAATTTAAATATTTTGTGCGATCCGTATTATTATGCTCGCACAATAATTTTACAAGTTTTTAAAAAAGTGTGTCTTTTTTATTCATAGACCACGTCCACCACGAGAATATATCGATGTTCCTCTGCCGAAATCTGTAGTTAAATCCATAGCCTTAAGAAATGCCGAAGAGGAGGCCTCATCGCCATCACCTTCATCGCCGTTTGTGCTAAAATATAATGCCTGCCAACCGGTCAATAATATGAATATGTAAATATTATTTTTTTCATATTTAAATCATTTCAATATTATAAAAATTTTAAAAAATCATTTTCCTTCCAGCTCACCCCATTCCTTCGAGACCTCTATGTTTTCGCTGCATTCCAGTGGCCAAGATTCGGGTGTTGATTTTGTTAGCAGTCGAGAATTATATGAAACATCACCGGATTCATTTGATTCGCAGCAGTCGAAGAAGCCTTCACATAAATCCCTGTGTCCGCGTCATGCCAAGGAACATTTGGAACAGAAACACATAAAGACAAGTGGTTCGAAGCTGGATTTAAATAATACAGATTCGAGGTAAGTTTGAGGACAATTTAATGTAACATATTTTAGGAATAAAAAATAAAGTTATATAATTTAATGTAAAATGTGTAACTATATTTTACCTGAAAAAAAATATTTGATATTTCATAAAGTGTATGCGTAATGTAGTTTTATATCACTCATTTTTATCATTTGTTCGTCTTTGTAATCCTGTAAATAACGAAAATAATTCTAACAATTTACGATTCATCAATCACCAATCATCATGTATTTTTCCATTGCATTTTTTCTCTCTCTTTCTCCTTCCAGTGATAATTATGAAGATTCTTTACAGAATGATGATGCTCTAGTTGTCAGCAACTGTCGATCGCTTTGCGAACATCATCTCCAGCAACATCAACAACAACAGCAGTCGCAACATCAACAGCTCCATCAGGAACTCTATCAAAATTCACAATTCGAAAAGAGATCCTGTGTCCGGCATTCATTTTCCGGTGTTAAAGATGATCTAATGCAAAATTCCCCTGGGATATCGTTAAGGGCTCGTGGCCATATCCTGCGTAATTCGATGAATGATTTAGAACAGCGTTTACACAATTTGGAGCAATCCTTTAAGCGACCGTTGGATTATAAAACGAAAGATAATTCATTGCAATTTTAGTTGTATGTAATTCGAAATGTGCATGTCTGTCTGTGTAATTTATGTATTTTGTTATAATAGCCATTGTGAGTGTATTTGTATGTATTTTATTTATTAGATTGTAGATTTTATTTAAAATGGTAATCCAAAGTATTAAAAACAAATTTGTGTGCAATATTTATGCAATCTATTGATATTATTAAATAATTTGTAATTATTTCCAATGTAGAATAGCTGTAATATATAGTATGTAGCTTTGTTTTTATATATTTATATATTATATGTATTTATGTATGTATATTTAGTTGTAATGTACCTGTGAATAATAAAGGAAGAGTATCACAAATTTTGTTTAAATTGAAGAGGTTTTACTCTGATACATATAAAATGTTATTATTGTTTAAAAGAATATGCTTGTATAGAACTAGAATCAGAATCATTTTATATTCCAATTGATATAAGTCTAAAACAAATGTAAATATAAACCCGTTATCAGCGCCATCTATTGATGGACATGATTCAAATCAGACACATTAGTTTTACGAGTCCAATCTCGTAACGTATAAATTTTGAAATGATTATCCCATACCAATTTTTAAAACACACCTATTATTAAGGGAACTATAGAAAACTTCAAATGGTATTGAAATCAAATGGTATTGGAATTCAAAGATGTTTCGATATATACCCACTGTTCGGTGCTGGACTCCTTTTACCTGAAAATGAAGAATCCAAGAAAACTATTATTTTCTAATAATGTGGCAATTCGGTCAAATATACTGGACAGTGTATGATAGACTTTTAATATACATTTACATATAGATGAAGAATCCAAAATACAGATGATATTCTGTAAACACTTGTCGTCAGCGCCATCTATTGAATGAGAAGATCCAAAACTATATTATACAACATTTAAACTTCATTTGTTTTTCCTACATCTTTTGAGCCACTGTAGATATAAATTGAATATATTAATTTTGTGAAATATGGTATTGAAATTGGGGTTTAAAGATTAAGAATAAAATGTTCCTCCTTGATATTAAATTATTAATTATTCTTAGCAACGTTTTCATATGAGACCGATTTTTTAGAATATAAAATTTGATATAAAATTTAGTTTCCAGATTTCTTTTGTTATAATTTTTTCGTTTTGCAGATATTAAAATAAAAGTGGTATCATTCATATAAATGGTACAATCGTGTACATTCTTGTGAAATAAATAAAATTTCAAAATTATTTAAATACTAGCATATGCCCGCTACTTTGTTAGCGAATGTAATAATTTTTTTAAACATGCCTAAAGCTAATCAACGTGCACACCAATATTAACCATAATTAAAGTGTTAGTACCATTTAGTCCCCTTGTTATCGTATAGTAGGGGAGACTGGGGCACCTTCGGCACTTTTTTTTTAGAGGTCTATATCTCAGTACATATTCAACATATATAACAACTATATGGCTGATTATTGTCCTCTGACTCTTAATTATGAAAAATAGTACCAAAAAGATATATAAAAATAGTATTAGTTAAAAAATTTTACAGTTTTGTAAAAAAAGTCAAATTCGCCGAATGTGCCCCAACCCGGGGTAGCTTCGGCATTTGATGGGGCACATTCGGCACCATAGTCATAGCCGGGTAATTGTCATCGCTATCAGTCTGGTTGAAATTCTGATTATTTAAAGGCTCTATTTGGTTTTAATACGCCACACAATGTTTGAATTATAGGGCTTTATTTTCTAGCGGCGGACGTTTACATCTCAAGGTCGCACACACCATCAGAAATAGGGGTTTTCTATCGCATTTTCGTCAATATAAGCACGTTTGATCTTTTATATGCAATTTCGAGCCATATTAAAGGATTAGTTTTAAAGACAAACTCAAAATCATTTTAAGGAAATAATATTGCACAACCTGTATATGGCCGAATGTGCCCCAATTTAAAATGCCGAATGTGCCCCGAATGTACTTTTTATAGTTTTTTCATTTTTTTCGATCAGTTTTGTAAAAATATTATATTTTTAAATATTTCTATAATAATACACATCGTAGTTAACCACTTTTTAATAATATTGTCTTAAAAATTTAAAAAGTTTTATACACGAAATACTTACGAAATGGAATTGAAATATTACAGAAACATCTATAAAAATACAAAAACCTATGTATCTAAATAAGCTTATTAGCTAGAAATTTCAAACTTTGTGTAAGTTATTTATTTCGATATTCGATACCTATGTATCGAAACTAGTGATGTACGGTGAGAGCTTCATATCGAAAACGCGATTGCCGAAGGTGCCCCAGTCTCCCCTACGTATTTCCGAAACTACCTCTATGTCTCAACACTACCCACCAATTCTCATCGCAACACAAATCTAGCATATACTAATTTTTGTACCATTTATTACCTTTCGTACTCTTGTAGTACTTATTTCCAAAACTAATTCCAAATTTCATGATTCGAGGTCTATAGGTTCAACTGAATCTAAATTTTGTCAAATTTAGTACGATATAGCACACATTAATACTAATCCAATAAAAAGCCATATTTCCTAATTTCAAGATTCCAGACCGATCCTTTTCTAAATTTTATACTATTTAGAACACATTTGTATGAATTTCGAAAACTGATTACAAAGTCAATCCTACACTCCAAAAGTGATCCTAAATTCAAATTTGAAGATTCCAGCTCTATCAGTTCACCCAAATCCACATTTGGTACCATTTAGTACAACAACTGCAACAATGATCCTAACTCAAAATTTCACGATCTCAGCACTATATGTTCACCCAAAACTCAAATTGTACCAAAGTTTGTACCATTTAGTACCCATAAGTATGAATTTCCAAAACTACATTCGCACACCAATCCTACTCTCCAACGGTAATCTTATTTTCTTATTTCAGTGTTCGAGCTCTATCGTTTCACCCAAATACACATTTGGTACTATTTAGTACACATCAGTACAAATTTCCAAAACTTCCTAGATATCCAAATCCTACACCCCAACAATGATCCTTACTCAAAAATTTCATGATCTCAGCACTATCGATTCACCTAAAATTCAAATTGTACCAAAGTTATTACCATTTAGTACCCATAAGTATGAATTTCCAAAACTACATCCACACACCAATCCTACACCACAACAGTAACCTTATTTCCAAATTTCTTTCGTTTAGCTCTATCTGATCCTAACTTCAAATTCCAGGATTCCAGCTCTATGGGTTCATCCAAAATCCAAATTGTACAAAATATAGTACCATTTATTAATTTTCGTACACATAAGTACATATTTCCAAAACTACCTAATATCGCTATCCTACACTCCGACGGTAATGTTAATTTTAAATTTCAGGATTCCAGCTTCATCTGTTTTCCTAAATTTAAATTGTACCAAATTTAGTACAGTTTAGTACTTTTCACATACATGAGAACACGCTTTAAAAACTACCTACTTATATCGAACATACATCTCAATCTTGATTCGCATTCCAAATTTCAAGTTTTTAGCTCTATCCATTCACATGCTATGAAATTGTACCAAATATAGTGCATTTGAGTACTTTTTGGATACTTATAGTTCGAATGTCAAAAAAACCTTTGCTACATCTATTCTACACTCCATCGAGCTGCACCGGTACACCAAATATAAACGATAACACATTTAGTACTTTTCGTGCCGTTCAAGCACGAATTTCCAAAAACCCAGCCTTATCTGACCCCTTTGGACCAATAGTGATTCTCAACCCAAATTGCAAACTTCTAGCTTCGGTCGTTTGTCTGGGCGTTAATAAATCGTTGTCTGTCAGTCAGTGAATCAGTCAGTCATGCACATCATATTTTTAGCAAATTTGACTTGGATCATCATAATATTTATTAAGAGAAGTCTTTTGTTATGTTAGTATTTTATTTAAAACGATTTTCTCTTCCACTATTTTCGTGTAGGTGGTTCTCTGCCAATACATCGCTCTTATTAGGTTTTGCAGAGCTGTAAATGAATGTATTCTTTGTGTGATCAGTAATTTGCAATTGGTGGAGTAAACTTTTTAAAAGTTCCATAACATAACATCTATGCAGGATAGATACAATATAGACCCAAACTTTGAAATATCCTCCCATAAACAGGTTCCGCTCAATTTTTCGTGTTTTAATTGCTCAAGAGACTTTTCCCAAACGAAGTGGCTTTAATAATCTATTCTAGATTCTTGGAGGGTAAACCATTTCTTCGTCCAAAATTGTCGATATAAGTCCATGTTCAGACATTGTCGTAAGGCAATTTTCCAAAGGTATGGTTTTTTAGACTGGAAAGTGTCTCTTGACATTGCCTATTTCCATTTCATCAAGAGTATCTGTAATTTGGCGTGGTAATGAGGAGGACATATCCACCACATAGAGGTCCTGTTACATTTAGTGCCCAACTGACTGTGGAAGAAATACACATTTCAGCCGATTTTATTTATTCAATCAGCGTATTAATGGGCGGTACACATAAAAACTACATCTCTCCCCCTCTCCAATAGTGAAAGTTTCATACAAATATCTCCATTAATCACCAAGTTATGGTCATTTGAAGTCAAAAATATAGCTGCTACACGATTCTGTTTGCCTGGTACGGCAAATGGGAAAACCGAAGAAATTGCAAATGCACAAAAACAGAAAAATGCAGGGGTATTGCCAGATTGTTTGCTTTGTGTTTCTACGTTAATTAGCGAAATTATGAGCATGCTTTTAGGCGTTACACAATGCAGAAGACAAAGTGGTAACACATCTGCATTTTTCTGTTTTGTGGAATTGCAATTTGTTCAGTTTTCTTAGTTGCCGTATCAGGCAAACAGAATCGTGTAGCAACTTTATTCTGATATATCGTCAATTTCAAATGGTCATAACTCGGTGATTAATGGAGATATTTGAATAAAACTTTCACTATTAGATAGGTGGAGGGATGTAGTTTTTTTGTATTTTGAAGATCTTAGCCGAAGTTTTCTTATTAGGTGTTTTGATGAGGATGACATAG